AACAATTCTCCTGCCTCAGCCTCCTGAGTAGCTGGGATTACAGGCATGTGTCATCACGCCCAGCTAATTTTGTGTTTTTAGTGGCGACGGGACTTCTCCATGTTGGTCAGGCTGGTCTCGAACTACCGACCTCAGGTGATCCACCCACCTCAGCCTCCCAAAGTGCTAAGATTACAGGCGTGAGCCACCACGTGGCCTATTTTTTTTAAGCTTTATAGTTTTGACTTTCACATTTTGGTTTTTCTCTACCTGGAATTGATTTTTGTGTTTGCTTGGGGAAGTGTGTGTTTCTGGACTCTTGTTGCTGTTCCATTAGTATATTTTTCCCTGTGTCAGTCCCTACATTGTGCTAATGACCTGTAAGTCGTGCTGGTGACAGGAAAGCCTTCTGTCTTACTGTTGTTCTTCAAGAGTTTCTTAGCCCTTGGCATTTCCTCATCAGTTTTAGAATTAGCTTCTCCAGTTCATAGTTACACACTTACACAGATGGAGGTTTTGATAGCCATTACATTTAGACCAGGGGTCCCCAAACTTTTTACACAGGGGGCCAGTTCACTGTCCTTCAGACCGTTGGAGGGCCGGACTATGCAAGGTGTGACACCCTTCACAGCCAGCACTGCTGCCTCCACTATCCCAGACAGCGGTATACAGTGTCACAGGCCCAGCACCGCCTCCAGTGCTGTATACAGGGATGGCGGTGATCAGCCGGTGACACTGTGTATACAGCGTCCTGGACATCTGCAGCAGCGGTGGGCCTCTTCTGTGGGAAGCCCACTGCTGCATGTTTCCCCTATTATAAGACACCTCTTAAAAATAAGCCAGTCCCTGTCTTTTGGGGGTAAAATTAATATAAGACAGGGTCTTATAATAGGGGAAACGCGGTATGTAGTAATGTGGGGGGCGACTTTTGGGCAAAGGGAGGTTATAGGGGCCATTATGTTGTTGTACATTTGGGGGAGTATGGGGGCCATTGTACTGTGTAGTAATGGTTATAGTGCTTTGCCTTTCTTCCTACTTCTTTCACACTGCTTCCGGTGATGTGGGGCGCCGCAGCCGCAGACTGGATATGCCTCATATGACGCGCTTCCGGAGCCCTGACGCGTGCGTCCTGCGTCACCGGAAGTAGTACTGTACGTGAACGACACCGCGCTTTGCAGCATCCGCATCCTGTGCCCCTCTCACTGACCACCAATGAAAGAGGTGCCCCTTCCTGAAGTGCGGCGGGGGCAGATAAATGGCCTCGGGGCCACATGCAGCCCACAGGCGTAGTTTGGGGACCCCTGATTTAGACCATAGATCAGTTTTGGAGAGAATTGACCTTACTGCAACATGGAGGCTACCAATTTGTAACCACACTTCTTAATATCCTTGACTAGAGAAGAGATGAGAAAATGGCCCTTGATCCCAGTCACTTCCTGGCCCCTTCTGAGGTGTGTGAAAGAAGGCACACTATTCTTCTGTAGCTCCTTAGACCCGCTTAGAAGAGTTATACCCGATTCCTCTCATTGAGATGTGCTATTGTTTGTTTTTTAATTATGGTAAAAACACAAAATTTACAATCTTTACCATTTTAAAATATATAGTTCAGTTGTGATAACTATTATTCACACTTTTGTGCTATGGATTTCAAAACTTTTTCGCCTTATAGAACTGAAACTATACCCATGAACAAATCCCCATTTCCCCTACTTAGCCCAGCCCCTGGCAACAACCATTCTTTTTTCTATGATTTGTCTACTTAGGTACCTCATATAAGTGGCATTATACAGTATTTGTCTATTTTTGACAGGCTTATTTCACATAACAATGTCCTCAAGCTTTATCCATGTTGTAGCATGTGACAGGATTTCCTTCCTTTTTAAGGCTGAATAATATTCCATGGTATGTGTTCAACATTGTATTTATCAATTCATCGATCGTTGGATATTTGGGTTGCCTCTACCTCTTGGCTATTATGAATAATGCTGCTACAAATCATGGGTGTACAAGTATATCATCAATAATATGTTTGGAGGTTTTTAAAACCAAGGTATACTGCAGTTTCAAATATGGGAGTTTAAGTGCTTAGAAAAGTGGAAAGCCAGGAGTGGGCTTGGGCATGGAGGCTGCTTTGTGTGAAAGGACCGTTGCTCTTTTTGTCACCTTACATTTAAATATAGGCTAAGTTGATCATTACTAAAAGTTGATCATAACTAAAGGTAATGGTACAACTTGTTTGTGTCACGAGTCTCACTCTGTCACCCAGCCTGGAGAGCAGTGGCACAATCTCAGCTCACTGCAGCTTCGACCTCCTAGGCTCAAGCTGTCCTCCTACCTCAGTCTCTTGAGTAGCTGGAACCACAAGAACGCTAATAAAGTCTCCTTTCCATCCCATCCCCTGCTATCCAGCTGCCCTCTCTAGTGGCAGCCAAGAGCCAACATCACTGTCTTATGTTTCCTTCTGGGGGTATTCTATGCAAAAACAAATGCATATTTTCCCCTCCCTTTTTACAAATGGTGGCAGAATGTGCCCATTTTTGACCTTTATTCTTGAGACCTAGTTTTTGCTCTCTTCGCCCAGGCTGGAGTGCCGTGGTGTGGTCTCAGCTCACTGCAACCTCTGCCTCCCGGGTTCAAGCAATTCTGCATCAGCCTCCCAAGTAGTTGGGATTACAGGTGCACACCATCATGCCCAGCTCATTTTTATATTTTTTAATAGAGACACAGTTTCACCATATTGGCCAGGCTAGTCTCGAACTCCTGACCTCAGGTAATCTGCCCTCTTTGGCCTCCCAAAGTGCCAGGATTACAGGCATGAGCTGCCACTCCTAACCTTTTTAATTTTGTTTCTAGAGACAATGTCTTACTGTGCTGCCTGGGCCCATCTTGAACTCCTGGGCTCAAGCAGTCCTGCCACTTTAGCCTCCCAAAGTGCTGGGATTACAGATGTGAGTCATCATGCCCAGCCCTCTGATTCTTTTTACATAACATTTTTATTTTTTTTTTTAAGGCTGGAGTACGACAGTGTGATCTTGGCTCACTGCAACCTTCACCTCCTGAGTTCAAGCGATTCTCCTGCCTCAGCCTCCTGAGTTGCTGGGATTACATGTGCCCACCACCATGCCTGGACAATTTTTGAAGTTTTAGTAGAGACAGGGTTTCAGCATGTTGGCCAGGCTGGTCTCGAACTCCTGACCTCAAGTGATCCTCCTGCCCCGGCCTCCCAAAGTGCTAGGATTACAGGGATGAGCCACCACACGAAGCCCATAATATTATCTGGAGATGAACATCATTTTTTATGGCTACAGGGTTCAATGTATGGATGAACATTTATTTAGTCCCCTATTCATGAACAGTTTGGATTCTAGTCTTTTGGTATTACATTTATTTTCATAAATATCATACATGATATATTTCTAGGATACTGTAGGATAAATTACAAGTAGAATGCTGGGCCAAAAGGCATGTATATTTATACATTTTTAAAGGATTTAAAAATATTTTTTAAAAGCTTTGACCTTGTTTTTTTTAAAACATACTTTTTAGTTTTGTTGTTATTGTGAAATATAATACTGATTCTGAATGAGGAGCCCGAGTTGAGAAGCTTTATACTGAGCATCTCTGATGCAAAGACATGGATTTATTTTTGCTGCTACTGCTGCTAGTTAGGGTGTGATCAAGCAAGAAAAGACATTTTCTTTTTTTTTTTTTTTTTTGAGACGGAGTTTTGCTCTTGTTGCCCAGGCTGGAGTGCAATGGCGCGATCTCGGCTCACCGCAACCTCCGCCTCCTGGGTTCAGGCAATTCTCCTGCCTCAGCCTCCCGAGTAGCTGGGATTACAGGCACGTGCCACCATGCCTAGCTAATGTTTTGTATTTTTAGTAGAGACGGGGTTTCACCATATTGACCAGAATGGCCTCGATCTCCTGACCTCGTGATCCACCCGCCTCGGCCTCCCAAAGTGCTGGGATTACAGGCGTGAGCCACCGCGCCCGGCAAGAAAAGACATTTTCAAGAGGAAGAATATAACCAAATTACTAGGCATGTATTCCAACTTTTGAAAGTCTTCCTTTTCATATTCAGTGTTTAACAACCACCTGTTAGCTACACAGAGTGCTCCCCTAGTTGCAACAAAGAATATCAATTTGTGGGCTGGGTGCAGTGGCTCATGCCTGTAATCCCAGCACTTTGGGAGGCCGAGGCAGGTGGATCATGAGGTCAGGAAATTGAGACCATCCTGGCCAACATGGTGAAACTGTCTTTACTTAAAAAAAATATACAAAAATTAGCTGGGCGTGGTGGCTTGTGCCTGCTGTCCTAGCTGCTCAGTAGGCTGAGGTGGGAAAATAGCTTGAACCAGTTAGTTGGAGGTTGCAGTGAGCTGAGATCATGCCACTGCACTCCAGTCTGGTCACAGAGCAAGACCATCTCGAGAAGGTGGAGCAAATGCTGTTTTCAAATAAAATTCAAATGGAAATTAATTAAATACACAAATACTACCAGTGTCATTTTTGTTTTAAATATTCAGTAGCAAATATTTTGAAATCTTTGTGCATGATTTTTAACATAGGACAGTGTAACAAATGCTTTCCTATTCTCATACTACTTTGGAGTGTTTATGTACAGATGCATGTATTTTAAATTTTTAACAGCCTTGTACTAAACAATGTACTTATTAACAGGTGCAATGCTTTATCTCCTAAATGAAAAGTTTCCATTCATTAGTTTCTGTAGAGGCTTTTAAATTAAATAAGAACAAAGCGATCAAGAAAGACAGCCTTCATATTAAACCACCTTGGCAATATTTGACCATTCATGGAGACAATTGGCTAATCATTAACTGGATTTACTACAGTCAAAACTTGAAGTTCCCCTGGATTATTATTTTATTGAGTACAAGATTAGCTGACTTACAGGGCAGAAAGAATGGGAGTTTCTTTTCCTACTGTTACCTCTCAAGTTTAAAGAGAAAGGTAACCTTTTACTTTTCTGATATTTTCTATTACTCTTCTAATTCATAGGGATATCTGTGTTTGCCTTACATGGCATTGCAGCAGCATCATCTTCTCTCCGATGTCACCGTTAGGGGATTTGTTGCTGGAGCTACTAACATCCTTTTTCGACAACAGAAACACCTCAGTGATGCCATTGTGGAAGTACGTTTATGTGTGAGTGTGTGTATTTGGCCCTGCTCATCCCAGTTTTCCTTTCTTAACTACAATTATGAATGTATAGTAACAATACTAGAAATGATAATTGTATACTGCATGTCATGTATTGTAGGTATTTTATGTGTATTAACTGGTCTAATTCTCCTAACAACCCAGTCAATAGCACTATACTGTCCACATTTTACACTGCAGAAGCTGAGGAACAGAGAGATTAAGTGATTTGTACAATATCAAACACCCAGTAAATGGGTAAACCAGAATACCAATCTGGGCAACTGGGCCTACCAGTACGTCACGATTTTAAAAATGTGTTTGTTGTTAAAGTAATTTTAATCCTTCTAGCCTGTTTAGAATGCTCTTGATACCAAGAAGGAAGCTATGCATAAGTATCTGACATCAATATGTAAGAAATTTAAATTGTTATTTTACAATTGAAATAATCTTTCTTTCTTTTTTGAGACAGAGTTTCTCTCTTGTTGCCCAGGCTAGAGTAGAATGGCATGGTCTTGGCTCACTGCAACCTCCACTTCCCGGCTTAAAGTGATTCTCCTGCCTCAGCCTCCTGAGTAGCTGGGATTACAAGTGCTTGCTACCATGCCCAGCTAATTTTTTCAATTTTTGTAGAGGTGGGATTTTACCATATTGGCCAGGCTGGTCTCGAACTCCTGACCTCAGATGATCCACCTGCCTTGGCTTCCTCAAGTGCTGGGATTACAGGCGTGAGCCACTGCACCCAGCCTAAAATAATTTTTGAGAAAAATTTTATGAGGCCTGGTGCAGTGGCTCACGCATGTAATCCCAGCACATTCGGATGCTGAGGTGGATGGATCACCTGAGGTCAGGAATTCAAGATCAGCCTGGCCAACATGATGAAACCCCATGTCTACTAAAAATACAAAAAAAATTAGCTGGGCGTGGTGGTGCGTGTCTGTAGACCCAGCAACTCAGGAGGCTGAGACAGGAGAGTTACTTGTACCTGGGAGGTAGAGGTTGCAGTGAGCCAAGATTACACCATTGGACTCCAGCCTGGGTGACAGAGTAAGACCTTGTCTCCCCAAAAAAAAAACAAAAGGCCAGGTGTGATGGCTCATGCCTGTAATCCCAGCACTTTGGGAGGCTGAGATGGGTGGATAACGAGGTCAGGAGTTCAAGACCAGCCTGGCCAAGATGGTGAAACCCTCTCTCTACTAAATATACAGTAATTAGCCAGGAATGGTGGCACACACTTGTAATCCCAGGTACTTCGGAGGCTGAGAGGCAGGAGAATCACCTGAATCCAGGCTGCAGAGGTTGCAGTGAGCCAAGATTGCACCACTGCACTCCAGCCTGGGCAATAGAGTGAGACTCTCTCAAAAACAAAAAAAGGCTTTTGTAGTTTCTGACAAAGTATGGAAATATATTTCTTGGGCAAATTGTTATAATAGAATGAAAAGTCCAGGATTCAAAGATACATTTATTACAATTCCAAATTTGAAGAAGAAAATATATACATTTTCTAAGACAGGAGGATATAGATGGAAGGATCAGAGCTGCTTCAACATTTTTGGTTACATTCTAGTTCTGTAGTGGGTTGGTGGGTTCATAGGAATTTCATTTATTATTATACTTCAAAACTAACCTGTAAGTTAAATGCAGTTCTTAGTATGTCAAATATTACATAGTAAGAATATTCTAAAGTATCTGCATGCAAAAGAAAAAGTATTTAAGGAATTATACTTGTTAAATGTGTTCATTTCTGCTAGTGAAATAAAGGTGATTTTTACATATATTTCTATATTTTCCTAAATATTTGCAATCTACATGAATTACTTTTATAATGTAAAATTCTCTAAGTGTATATTTTCTAAAAACAGAAAATGAGCATTTTATAAATAGAAAACTTCAGTGTACAAACCTCTTTCTTAGACTCACCTTTTGAGAATGCTATTATTCATATTTTTTATTTCCAGCTCCACCTTCCCTGTAGTTACTCTGTAAAGTGTGGCATGGATGTCTGCGTGAATGCCCAGACTCTGACTTGTACCTGGATACCCTCTAGGTAGAAGAAGCTCTGATCCAGATTCATGATCCAGAACTCAGGAAGCTGCTTAACCCAACCACTGCAGACCTAAGGTTCGCAGATTACCTAGTGAGGCACGTGACTGAGAATCGGGATGACGTCTTCCTAGATGGCACGGGCTGGGAGGGAGGTGACGAATGGATCCGGGCCCAGTTTGCGGTCTACATTCATGCCCTGCTGGCTGCCACACTGCAGTTAGGTAAGAAACCCTGTGGAGCACACAGCTACCTGTTTTATTATAGTTTTTCATTTTGTAACATCTATGAGGTTTTGGATTGCACAATAAATACATATTCCTTATAGAAAAATTACCACTTATTCCCTCATACAGAGCCACTTTTAAAATCTTGAGTACCTTATAGCCTTCCAGATCTTCCTATGCATGGATTTTGGATTTCGGTTTATTGGTACTTTTGGTGGTCCTTTTGCAAAAATGGATCCCTTTATACGTGTTTTCTGAAACCTTTGATTACTTTATAATAGAACCAACACATATCAACATAACATGAATATATATCATCACTTTTTACATGGCTGCTTCGTATTCCTTTCTGTGGAAAGATATATCAGTATTTGGCAGCTGTTTATGAATATTGCCTACATGTTTTTAACATGCATAAAGGGAGAAAGAAGAATATGAAAAACAGAAATCGATGAAAATCATGTTGTAAATTATTAAATTTTCAAATTTATCACCCATTCTAAGAAATATTATTCCTATTAAATGGTTAAAATGGGACAGGTAAACATGGGCTTACTCCTACATTAAAACTGTCTCATTCCTCTTGGGAAAAAAATGTATAGTGAAAATGGAGCTCTGCATTGAGCTTTTCACCTTGGACATTTGGCAGATACTCATTACAGTTGCTAAAAACGTGTTGAGCTTGTGTTTTTTCCATCAGTTAACTGTAACCATTTTTTAAATGCTGATGAAATACATATAGCATAAAATTTACCATTTTTACCATTTTTAAATGTACCATTCCGCAGTGGTATTAGATACATTCACATTGTTGTGTCAATAGATTTTTTTAAATCAACACCAACCACCACCACCACATGTTGCCAGGTTAGTTATTCACATTGCACATAAGTAGTTTTAAATCGGGTTTCAGGAGTGTTTTTAATTTGTAAAACATGGTTAAGGAACAAGTCCTCATTTGTTAATGGGTTATTTTTAAATGTTTGCCACCACCACAGATGTAGCAGCTGAGACACCAAAATTAAATCCTTTAATCCCAAAGCACTCAGTAATCTAGAAAGAAAACTTTGTCTCCACCATCATGTAGCTTGAGTAATTAATTTGCTTTTTAAAAAAAAATTTGCCCAGGAGACTGTAAGCACTGAAAATAGTAGCTTAACTTTTTTTTTTTTTTTTGGAACATTAAATATGTGCAGGGACCAGTGTTTTGAGCACTTTGCATCTAATCATTCATTTCATCCTCACAATCCTGGAGGTAGGTACCTTGTCATCGCCTTCTACAGAAGAGAAAATGAAGCCCACAAAGGTTAAATAGCTTGCTCATCCATCTGATAAGAGGCCGAGGCAGGCTCTGATCCCAGACATTTTGGCTTAGGCCCATGCTCTTAACAAGTAACAAGGTCAAAAGAGGAAATTCAGCCCAATGAACTGCTTGAGGAACAAGTTCTTTATGCTGTGTGTGGAACTGTGTATCTCATTCAATTCCTTTCTACCAACAAAAGGTACTTTGTATTCTACCTTCAATGCAAACAACATGCAATTAATATATGAAGTAATAGCCATTTGTATCAGTTCTCCAAACCATTTCTGGTCTTCCAAGTTGGGGAAACAGGCATGCTTTCCCATAGTATTGATAAAGCTGACAACTTTATCAGTTTTTAGCATATATATTTTTTGAGATGGAGTCTCTCGTCACCCAGGCTAGTGTACAGTGGCATGATCTCAGTTCATTGCAACCTCCACCTCCCGGGTTCAAGCAATTCTCTTGCCTCAGCCTCCTGAGTAGCTGAGACTATAGGCATATGCCACCACTTCCCAGCTAATTTTTGTATTTTTAGTAGAGATGGGGTTTCACCATGTTGGCCAGGCTGGTCTCAAACTCCTGACCTCTGGTAATCTGCCCGCTTACCCAAAGTGCTGGGATTACAGGTAAGAGCCACTACGCCCGGCTTTTTTGAAGTATTTTTGACAGTGAAATGCTGGGAAATTCAAGAATGAAATGCCAAATCATGACACGAAATCCAAAGAGAAAATCATGATTGAAAGAACTACATTGTGTATTCATTCTTAATTTTTGGGGGGAGGGGGGATGGCATTCATAAAAATAGAAAGATATCCCAATTGCCTATGCCATACGTATAAATCAGTATGTTTATTCACTGTCAGGCATACAGTTTTTGTTTAACTAATAATGCTATCCTCATAATGGTAAAGAGAACATGAAAATATATATATATATATGTTTTTGAGACGGAGTTTCGCTCTTGTTACCCAGGCTGGAGTGCAATGGCGCGATCTCGGCTCACCGCAACCTCCGCCTCCTGGGCTCAGGCAATTCTCCTGCCTCAGCCTCCTGAGTAGCTGGGATTACAGGCATGCGCCACCACGCCTAGCTAGTTTTTTGTATTTTTAGTAGAGACGGGGTTTCACCATGTTGACCAGGATGGTCTCGATCTCTCGACCTCGTGGTCCACCCGCCTCGGCCTCCCAAAGTGCTGGGATTACAGGCTTGAGCCACCACGCCTGGCCACATGAAAATATTTTGGAGTTGTAAGGAACCTTGGATAATATCTGGCTCAACCCTCCTATTTAAGAAAATGACGTTCTGAGTGATTAAGTGACTTGCCAAAGGCCACATAGCTTCTTAACAGGATTTCTGGAGCTAGACCCAAGTTTCCTGACACCTGGAGGCTATCTCCCCCAAATACGGGAGGGCGGGGGATAAAGCCATCCTTTACCCTTTTTGGTTGTTAATGTTCACATCCCTGAATGGCTACAGCCGAGCTTAACTTCTTTCAATTATTTACTTGACAGATAATGAAAAGATATTATCGGACTATGGGACAACCTTTATTACGGCATGGAAGAATACTCACAACTACAGGGTGTGGAACAGCAACAAGCATCCTGCACTTGCAGAAATAAATCCAAAGTAAGCGCATCCTCTGAAGATTGATAGTACATAAATGGTTGGTTTACGAGTGCTCAATACAAAGAAAATTCTATTTTAACTTTGATATTGTGAATATTTTCAAGAATCCCCTTAAGTAGGTCATAAAAAGGTTCCCAAATACAGAGATACAGCTTAGAAACTGCTTCCGTATTCAGAATCCATATACAAAAAGCATGAGCATTATGGGAAGCACTAACATTTCCCTTGCTCTCAATGTGATTCAGAGAGGAAGTCCCTGGCACTTGGTGATGCTCAGTACACAGTGATTCTTCTTTAACAGAATGGTTAAACAAGATAGAAGCCTAGAAGGAAATACCACTAGTTTAAAACTGGGAGGCTATTTTAGAATATGACATGCAAAACCAATTAAAGTTAATATCTGGGGCCCATAATCCTAGCACTTTGGGAGGCTAAGGTAGGCGGATCACCTGAGGTCGGGAGTTTGAGACCAGCCTGAAACCCCATCTCTACTAAAAATACAAAAAAAAAAAATTGGCCAGACATGGTAGTGGGCACCTGTTATCCCAGCTATTCAGGAGGCTGAGGCGGGAGAATCACTTGAACTTGGGAGGTGGAGGTTGCAATGAGATGAGATTGCACCACCACTGCATTCCAGTCTGGACAACAAGAGGGAGACTCTGTCTCAAAAAAAAAAAAAAAAGTTAATATCTGGACTCCTGAATGTATGGTCAGACCTAGTTTCCACATCAGACTTTAAAATTCAACAAAACTTAATACCTGCTACAATACTGAATGTTGGTGATGAAAGCTTTATCCCACATAGGCATAAAAGGCTATTGGTTGAAGCCATTACAAAATAACGTGTGTGTGAATGCAGCAGAGCAGCATCAAAGGAGATCAGTTGATATAATGTATATGGGAACTTGTTTTCTAAATTAAAAGATAAAAATGATGTGTTTTTTACATTGATACAAGCATACACCATTTTCATTTGTATTTTAAACTTCTTTGTAAAGAATAAAAGTCAACTTTATACTGACTACTGTATTTTGGGGCTATAGTTAACTTTTCTAATGTGATTTAAGTGGTGCTAGAAAAGATACTCTGCTGTGCACGCATGCGTGCACACACACAATCCAGATGTTTAAGCCATAACAACTTGGGGAAGCATCTGCGTAAGTTGGTACAGAGGGTTTTGGATAACATGTCTGTTAAGCTTTATATTATACATCATGAAAAATAACTAAGCCAGGCGCGGTGGCTCAAGCCTGTAATCCCAGCACTTTGGGAGGCCGAGGCGGGTGGATCACGAGGTCGAGAGATCGAGACCATCCTGGTCAACATGGTGAAACCCCGTCTCTACTAAAAATACAAAAAAAAAAAATTAGCTGGGCATGGTGGCGCATGCCTGTAATCCCAGCTACTCAGGAGGCTGAGGCAGGAGAATTGCCTGAGCCCAGGAGGCGGAGGTTGCGGTGAGCCGAGATCGCGCCATTGCACTCCAGCCTGGGTAACAAGAGCAAAAACTCCGTATCAAAAAAAAAAAAGAAAAATAACTAAGGAGCTGGGCACAGTGGTGTGTGCCTATAGTCTCAGCAACTTGGGAGACTGAGATGGGAGGATTACTTGAACCCACAGTTTCAAGGCCAGCCTAGGCAACATAATGAGACCCCATCTTTTAAAGTAAAAATGACTAGGTTCAACACCAATTTTGGTGAATTTAATCATCATACTTGGATATACCAGAAACCTATATTACCATTTCAATATAGTATAAACACAGAAATAAAAGGCAAAATCATTTTAATAGTATTAAATGAAAGGGCTGAGTTCAAAGTGTTCTCCCTGACTGACTACAAAGCCTGTATTCTCAACGTGCTGAAGGGAAACAGATGTGGAGCTGCTTAGCAGGGTGGCACTCACAGGGTAGTGCTGGGAAGGCAGGGCCTGCGTTGACCCTCCGTCCAGGCAGTCAACACACAGAGCCATCCCAGTCTCCTCCCTGGGCTCTGTGCTGGGAGGCCTGGTCAGATCTTTATCTGTCACTACATCTGGTGCTTTTAGCTTGAACCAGCTCTATAGATGTTAGTGCAGGTCCAAAAGAGCCTTAGCTGAAAGGAGTTTTTAAAGGATTATGAAATAGTGCTTAGAATAACATGTAAAGAAATTGAGGCTATTTAGATGGAAAGAAGGCTGAAGGAAAGACTTGTGAACTGAAATATATAGGTAGGGAAATTATGCAGTTACCGTAGTACAGACCAAGGGAGAACTTCCCTTTCATCCTCTGAAGGTTCCCTGAAAAGTCAGCTGACAAAAGACAGATTAAAGGGAGAAATGGCATGCAAATATATTAATGTGCATGAGGGAGAGCTACAGGGTGATTGGATTATGTACCCAAGCTCGTGTACCCAACCCACCAACGGGGTACACTGGTTTATATATATGCCTTCTTTAGATTACAGAAAGAATTGGGGGCTCACAGCATAGCCAAAAACAGTTTAGGGTGGTAAGTCAGGTTGCAGGAAGGAGGAGAAAGGAGGCCTGGCTAGCAAAGTGGGTCTTGTTATATAGATAAAACTTCACGAGTAGCAGTCTTCAGAAAGAAGTGATGGTAAATGTTTCTTTCAGACCTTTAAATGTGTCAGACATTTTGGAGGGCCTCAGAGCAAACCGGGCTGCATTAATGCAGATTTTCTCTACAGATGCATATCCCCAAAATGACAGCTTTTCAGTCATTCTTGCCTTACCAGCCCTTCTGAATAGCCATCTTGAAATATGTCAAAGAAGTAGATTTTGGGGGAAATAGTCTAGTTTCCTTCAATAGCAGATTTCCAACATTTTGACCAAATTAAAAACAAGAAATGTGGTCATGCCTGGTGGCTCATACCTGTAATTCTAGCCCTTTGGGAGGCTGAGTCGGGCAGATCACCTGAGCTCAGAAGTTCAAGACCAGCCTGGGCAATATGGTGAAACCCCGTCTCTACTAAAAATTCAAAAAATTAGCTGGGTATGGTGGTGAATGCCTATAATCCCAGCTACTTGGGAGGCTGAGCCAGGAGAATCACTTGAACCTGGGAGGCAGGTTGCAGTGAGCAGAGATCGCACTGCTGCACTCCAGCCCGAATAACAGTGACACTCTGTCTCAGAAAAATAAAATAGGAAATGCTAGACTTCTGTTGTTATCAGAGGGTGCCATTTAGAGATATTTCAAACTAATTATAACTTTTGAGAGGTATGAAACCCTTTCTTTAACTCCTGAAGATTAGGGAAGGCAGCATTCTGACTTGACAAGTAGCAGGCATATTTCATCCCTTAAATATAGCCATTCCGGGAACATAGAGAATGATCAAATGATGTGTCAATATTTTCAGTCCTGTGATTCAGGAATCTAGTGATAAGAAGTGTTACATATCCTTACTTCGGCCCATGAAGAGTAGTTTGTTGTCACTTGAAGAACCATTAATTGTATTTTGTAAGTAGCTATAGATTTTACTAGGGTGACTTTCTTTGTTAGACCTTGACAGAGGGACCGCTGAGATAAAAATTGGATATTTACTGACTCCCCATTTTATGTGGTTAAATTGCCTGATTTTTTTTTCCTACTGACTGTATAATTCCAGAATGCCTGATTTTTTTAATACACTTTTTTTCTTTTAATATAACGGAAATAGGGAAGTCAGAATAATGTACTTTCTTACAAAAGTAAAGATAATGCTGTTTTTTTAAGACTGCTTTTTGAGTTGCTTTTCTGAAAGACCGTAGAGATTTTGCTTATCCATCCACAAATCTTTGCATAGCCAATAGCACACATTTACAAAATGGACAGGATCAAGGTATATGATGTATGACCATGGCCTAAACCAGTGACTCATTTTGACTGTCCTGGGAGCTTGTAAAAAATTCTTGAGTCCCACCCTAGACAGACTAAATAAATTAAAATATCAGGATAGCACTAAGAGAGGCTACCCGTCCCCGGCACGCACGGACGCACACACGCACATACGTACACACACACACCCCCACACCTGTTTTACAAGTCAGGAAACTAAAGCTCGGAGGGGTTAAGTCATCTCTTCTGGATATCATCAATGTAAGTGGAGAGCTGTGATCAAAGCCAAGTTTCCTGATAACAAATTCAGCACTACACCCAGCTATGTCATCCATGAGAAGCTTACTAATATTTTCTTGTGATAATCCTTTTTTGCAGCCTTTTTGGTAAAATACTCATAGTTTAAACTCAAACTTTTTTTTTTACAGCCATCCATTTCAAGGCCAATACTCAGTTTCAGACATGAAGTTAAGATTCTCACAGTAAGTACTTAGAGAAAATACTGGGAAAATTCTTAAGTTTGAATTTATGCCATATGTTTCATTGCTAAGTGGGAACTGTTTACTTGATAGACTTATGCTTCAAATAGTAACCAAATATGTGCATAACATTCTTTAGCTCAGCAGTGTGTATGTTTCAAAGTGAAAACACCACTATTCCACAGAGGATGGTGTGAACTAATAACAGAATTTATCACTTTTATTTTGGTAAAGTGCTTTTAGCAAACCATCGCTGTCAGAGATTTAGCCATACATACATCCTTATGTGCCCACCACTTTTGGGTTCATCTGTATGTTCTTTTTTTATATTTATTCTGAAAATGCACATGCTTAAAAGGTTAATAAATTAATTCAAAACAAATAATAATTTAGCTTTTTCTCAGTAATTCTAATTTGGGATGGTTACAGAGTGATTATTGTGTGTGTGTGTCTACGTGTGTCTGTGTACATGTGTGAGATTTTTTAAAATGTACTTAGGCTGGGCATGGTGGCTCACGCCTGTAATTCCGGCACTTTGGGAGGCCCAGGCGGGTGGATCACGAGGTCAGGAGTTTGAGACCAGCCTGACTAACATGGTGAAACCCCGTCTCTACTAAAAATACACAAAATAGCCAGGCGTGGTGGCACACGCCTGTAATCCCAGCTACTCAGGAGGCTGAGGCAGGAGAATCTCTTGAACTCAGAAGGCAGGGGTTGTGGTGAGCTGAGATCGCACCACTGCACTGCAGCCTGGGTGACAGAGGAAGACTCCGTCTCAAAAAATAAAATAAAAATAAATTGTATTTAACACTTATTTTGTCTTTTACTCAGTTCTGTTCAGAATAGTGAACGTGGCAAAAAAATTGGAAACGTCATGGTCACAACTAGCCGGAATGTTGTACAAACAGGAAAAGCTGTTGGTAAGACATGCCTTTAGCCAGGAACAAATTGGAATCACAATTTGTTTTCTACGTCCATTTTCCATCTTCAATATGTAATTGATAAAAAACATAAAGTTGTAAAGATCTGTGTTACATAATAATAAAGAGAGTTTTTAAATTTTTGTCTTATTCATTTGAAAAATTCCAAATAATACCATAAAAAGTCAAACTCCATTACATCTAATAGAGAGTGAGAAAATTTTTTTATGAAGTCACTGTTTTGTTACCAAAATTCAAGCTTCGCCAGAGTTTTCTTACCCCATTTTCTGTGCTGTCTACAGTTCTTTATAAATGGCAGAGACTCATAATAAAAGTTAAGTATTAGGAGCTGCTGTCCTCTAAGATAGTATTACACAATAAAGAAAGTGAAGCCAACAGTTGGTTTTTTGAAAAGATCAACAATATTTATAAATTATTTATATAGACTGGTACAGATAAGAAGATACCAATTACCAATATTAAGGATGAAAGAGGGATGATTAGTGTAGCTCCTACAGAAATTGAACAGAAAATAAGGGAATATTTGAACAACTTTATGCTAACAAATTTAGCAAATGAAATACACAAATTCTTTTAAAGACTCATTACCAGCCGGGCGGGGTGACTCACGCCTGTAATCCCAGCACTCTGGGAGGCAGAGGCAGGTGGATCATGAGGTCAGGAGTTCGAGATCAGCCTGAACAACATGGTGAAGCCCCATTTCTACTAAAAATACAAAAATTAGCTGGGCATGGTGGCATGCACCTATAATCCCAGCTACTTAGGAGGCTGAGGCAGGAGAATCACTTGAACCCATGAGGCCTAAGTCGCAGTGAGCCGAGATCATGCCATGGCACTCCAGTCTGGGCAAAAGAGCAAGACTCTGTCTCAAAGAATAAAGACCTACATTACCATAACAGTTGCAAAAAGAAAATATGAATACCCCTATTATCTATTAAAGAAATTGCGCCAGATGCGGTGACTCATACGTGTAATCCCAGCACTTTGGGAGACTGAGGCGGGAGGATTGCTTGAGTCTAGGCATTCAAGACCAGCCTGAGCAACTTAGTGAGGCTCCATCTCTACAAGAAAATTTAAAAAGTAGGCATAGTGGTACGTGCCTGTAGTCCCAGCTACTCGAAGGGCTGAAGTGGGAGGATTGCTTGAACCCAGGAAGTTAAGGCTGCAGTGAGCCATGACAGCGCCACTGCACTTCAGCCTGGGTGACAGAGCAAGTGTCTTACAAAAAAGAAAGAAATCAAATTTAACATGAAAAGCCTTGCCGTAAGGTTTTTAATTTAAACCAGGCTGCCAAGGTGGCTCCAGTTTGAACTCTGTCAAATGTTTAAGGAAGAAATAATTCTAGTTTTACACAAAATCTTTAAATAAGGTAATACTCCCCAACTCATTTGATAAGGCTGGTATTAATATCAAAGTCAGATAAATGGTAGCAAGCTCTTTTGCACCTGTTTTCACTTACAATATTTTGAATATTGTTCCACATCAGTTCTAAAATTTTTCATTTTCTCTATTTTTAACTTTTTATTTTGATGTAATTTTGAACTTGAGCATTGCAACAGTGCAAGAAACTCTCAATTATCTCTGATTCACCAGTTATTTACATTTTGCCCCATCTGCTTTGTCATAAAATATGTTGTAAAAAACAGGGCATTACTACTTCCCTAGCTTCTGAAAGAGGTTAACCATTTCTGAACACAATTCAAAAGTCCCAGAACTAGGTAATCTTTGTGTAGGGGTCCTTATATCTCCAGTTTTCTGAATACCTAGAGAGAGACAGAAAACTCTACAGACTTGTATTTGCAAAAACAAACGCAGAATACATAGTGTATTGCAAAGGAACAGAATTTAGCACATAAGCATTTATCTCCAAACAATATGCATTTGACTTAGTTTTGAATTTTTATTTTTTTAATAGAAAAACTATGCTATATTATAGATACATTATATGCTGCTGCTGATAGTTAAATTCTAAAGCCAAATCTCTTCTATATTCTCCTTTCCAAGAATAGTGGGAGTATTTTAGTCAACTTAAATAATTTCACTTTAGCATCACCTTTTCTTCTGAGAGTGTCTCACTCTGTTGCCCAGGCTAAAATAAAATATGCCATGATCTTGGCTTACTGCCACCTCCACAAGGATCCTCCTCCCTCAGCCTCCCAAGTAGCTAGGACTACAGGCATGCACCACCATGCCTGGCTAATTTTTCTATTTTTTTGTAGAGACAGGGTTTTGCCATGTTGTCCAGGCTGTCTCAAATTCCTGGACTCAAGCTAACTGCCCATCTCAGCTTCCCAAAGTGCTGGGATTACAGGTGTGAGCCACCATGCCAGGCCTAACATTAACTTTTGAGATAATGTTCTATAAAACACAATAGACCTGGAGCAGAGAGAGTTCTATACATCTTTGTTTAACATAACTTCATTTTAGATGATAAAAGCACATTTCCCTAAAACAACCTAACCACTCTTCCCTGTTTAGGTGGTTACCGATTATCAAGTTGGTATTTAAGGAACACAAAGCAGTTTGACTTTTTAAGCTCTCTAATTATTCTGATATATAGCCAGTGTTGCTAGCACTGAGGATATTAAAGAAACAGTTCGATGAATACTTTCAGAATGCTTAGGCAGGTAGGCTCCTACACTAACAAATCCTCTATTTTTCCTTAATACATTCCTATGGAAAGGGATTGTTTTGAAACTAAAAATTTAAATATTTTGGCTGTTGTTGACATATTGGTGTGTTCTAGTGAATTAACATTTATTGGCTGCGCACTGTGGCTCACACCTGTGATCCCAACACTTTGGGTGGCTGAGGCAGGAGGATCACTTGAGCCAAGGTGTTTAAGACCACCCTGGGCAACATAATGAGACCCTGACTCCTGTCTCTACAAAAAATCAAATTAGCCAGGTGTGGTCACAAGTGCCTGTGGTCCCAGCTACTTGGGAAGCTGAGGTGGGAGGATCACTTGAGCCCGGGATGTTGAGGCTGCAGGGAGCCATGACCACTCCACTGCACTCCAGCCTGGGCAACAGAGCAAGACCCTGTCTCAGAAAAAAAGTTTTCTTAATTAAAAGTTTATTATGTTGGTCTTTCACTGTCTCAAAAGTTAAGACATTTTTCCTTTCGGTTTTCTTGTCTCCATCCAGGCCAGTCAGTTGGAGGAGCTTTTTCCAGTGCAAAGACAGCTATGTCTTCATGGCTTTCTACTTTCACTACTTCCCCCTCCCAGAGTCTCACTGAGCCACCGGATGGGAAGCCTTAAGCAAGGTGCCAGAGGCTGCTGTTGCTTTCTGAGGTTTAAGTGTCCCCTGTCTGTCTGCTGCTCCCAGGCTGTTGTTTATCAGCCACAGATTCACAGCAGGGGACCATATGTCGAACTGTTTACATGGACGGTTGCTCTATGTGAATGTTTTGGGATGCCGAAATGATGAAATCACAGCCGTAGCAGGGATGGCTTTCCAGGTTGGAGTTTCAATTGACTACTTTTATTTTAGTCTGAGCCTGATTAAAACATACAACGAACCTTCTAATAAATTTTGAGTTCTGATACCGTACATTGGTTTACTTTAGAAGAGTTTTTACTTATGTAAATTTTGTTCTGTTTTGGTGTTTGAATATCTAGATGGTCACTGTAATTTATACTTGCTAAAATTAATTTATATTACCATTTTCTCTAACATTGGCCTTAAAATGTGCTTATAAAGTGAAGGGGTCATACAGTCGGACCTTAATTATTTTGCGGAATTATATGATGATTTTTTTGCTTTCTACCCACAAAACATTAATTTGCTTCTTCCCAGAAACATGAAAGTCAGGGGTGGTAGTTCTGAGGATTGGGAGTTTTATGTTTTTAGTTTGTTCTTTCCACATCCTTTAAAAATTGCTTTCAGGTATCAAGGAGTATCATTGTGCTTTCCTTCTCTTTATAACTGTGCAGGTGGGTGTGTGGAGAAATAGCAGAATGATGGTTCGATGATACTGAAGCAGATTAACACGAATGTGTCTATAAGGCAGTACTTTCAAAGACCTATGTGTTTATTTTTCCAACCCCGGTCATGTTGCAGTCTTTTACAAGCACTTGTTTTTTTTGTTTTTGTTTTTGTTTTTGTTTTGTTTTGTTTTTTGAGATGGAGTTTCACTCTTGTTACCCAGGCTGTAGTGCAATGGCATGATCTCGGCTCACCACAACCTCCGCCTCCTGGGTTCAGGCAATTCTCCTGCCTCAGCCTCCTGAGTAGCTGGGATTACAGGCACGCACCACCACGCCCAGCTAATTTTTAGTATTTTTAGTAGAGACGGGGTTTCACCATGTTGACCAGGATGGTCTTGATCTCTTGATCTCGTGATCCACCCGCCTTGGCCTCCCAAAGTGCTGGGATTACAGGTGTGAGCCACCACACCCAGCACAAGCACTTGTTTTTTAATCCAGAGTTTGTACTATCTGGTTTTTTCTTTTTTTTTTTTTTTTTTTTTTTTTTTCGTTTTTTGAGACCGGGTCTGGCTCTATTGCCCAGGCTGGAGTACAGTGGCACGATCTCGGCTCACTGCAACCTCCATCTTCCAGGTTCAAGCAATTCTTGTGCCTCAACCTCCCAAGTAGCTGGGATTACAGCATGTGCCACCACACCCAGCTAATTTTTGTATTTTTAGTAGAGATGCGGTTTCCCCATGTTGGCCAGGCTGGTCCTGATCTCCTGGCTTCAAGTGATCTGCCTGCCTCGGCCTCCCAAAGTGCTAGGATTACAGGTATAAGCCACTGCGCCCAGCCTGTTTCTTTTTTAAACAGTTTTCTATTGGCTGTTTGCAGACCTACAGCTTTTCTCTTAGTCTTAGTCTTCGTAAAGCTTTTCAAAGCATCTAGTCTCCTGCTTCCCTGATCAAAGTCCTCCTATAATCAATCCCTACCCCCTTCTAGAAGTATTTATAAAAGAAAAGCAAGATGATTAAATAGAAATCTAAGTTTATATTCAGCAACGTAAGTGGCAAGAAAAGCAAACTGCAACCATGACACCTGTCATCTGAGAAAGGACATCTGGTTTCATATTAGGCACATGCATGCATGTGTGTGCCATCTACTGATGATTTGTACACGGCTGGACCTCGTGTGTTTGCCACGCTTAGCTCTCATTTGCTTTTCCAGGGGACCTGGGATGAGCGTTCTCAGAGAGTACTTACAGGGAACAGACTGCCTTTTCAATAACAAAGGATACTTGGAAAGTACATTGCAAGTATGATCTACCCCAGATTGCTGGGGAATTAAAGGAGAGCTCTGATTATATTTGGTTTATTCCTCACAAAATGTTTAAGAAGTAAATGCTCCCACGGTATTTGAAATGAACATAGAGACATAATCTAAGTATCTCCAAATTTTCCACTTTGTGTTTTCTAAACACAAATTATATTACCCATTTGAGCATAATAACTCAAGAATTCAGTGATGATAAATTGAAGGGCTTAATGTGAGAACCCCATTAATTCTATTTCTTCCAAGAAAGTTAACCTCAGGAAATACTGTTTGAAGAAAGTTATACCAAACAAAACCTTAAAACGGTACTCTAATCTTTTTTGTGCTGAGACTATAAAGAATTCATTCTAACATCTTGTTTCATGAGGCCGCATCATTAGTTGGTGCATGATAGTGTGATTTGTGTGCAGTTGTGACTTCTCAGCTGCCAAAGTTCACACTTTAAGGATCTAGGAGCCCTGTGAGGGGTCATCCAGCAAGGTGCTGATTTGTCTTTCAGTTTGTACGGTTTCTATGATCGGGGTCAACTCCCATTTCTCACTATTCAAAAGCAGCTCAACCCATGCTTTGGCATCCACTGAAATAAAAATAGTTACATGAAGTTTAACTTTGCTTCAGTATCACTTGTTCCCTATTTGACTATACACTTTGATCTGACTTTCTGTTAACATTTCTAGCTAAGAGTTTGACTCTTAGTGGTCACTTTACTGACTTTCAACATAAAACAGCTATCTCAGAAGACAGAACTATCTTGATAGAAATGATCAAAAGACCATAGCTATATTTCCTTCAGGTTCTGGAAGTTGGAGTTTTCAAGGAGTACTGGTTGTTGTATTGTTGGCAGGAGCCCCGAGGTAGCTCACACTATCAAAGGCAGGAAGCCTCACCGCTTGTCCTGTGACCCGCACATACTGCAGGCTTGGATTCTAGGCTCCAAGTGGCCAGCATAGAAGCAGCAGCCTCTCACCAAACCCTGGCTCTGTGAGCCATAGGAACCAGCACCAGGTCGTCTTCTGACATAGCCCTGGTAAAGGGGTGTGCATTGGTGGCCACACTTGCCCCATGCTTGCTAAGGCTTTTGTGTCTAAGAATTGTTTGTACCTAGGTGTGAGTGAACCAGGGCCAGCCTTTTTCAGATGTGCCAGGCACACATACTACATTGATGGCTTGGTGGTGGCTTCACTGCTGTCCAGGTGACTTAAGAGAGTGGAACATGTCCTGGTATACTTCAATTCCTACTAGACATTGTAAAGGCGAGAGTGTAGGTAGAGAAGAGAGAGTTAAAGCTACCAGTTGTGGAACAGAAATAGTTGCATGTCCAAAGAAGGCTTAGGATGATTGTGCATATGCATTTGGCTCACATAACCAGCATGAATAGTCTCTCCCCACATCCATTAGTGATTCACTATCACCCTGCCAAGCACAGCCCTAAAACAATTCTCATCCACTTTCCTGTTAAGAAACACAGCAGCAATACACTTTGGCAGCAAACCAGAGCATATGATGTGACTTGCTCAACCTTATCTCCCTTTCCAAATTCTATACTAAGCATCTGATGTTTTTTAGAATAATTTCCTTTGGAAAGCCAAGGAGAAAGCAAATTAGGAAGAGAGGGAGAAGTGAGAAATGGTTGCATGGCTGAGGAACAAGGTGCTTAAAATCTGAATGAAAGTATTTTGAGAGCAGTATTTCATATGCTAAGGGTTATAAGAATTCTTTTAGAAAGGAGTTAGAATTTTACTCTGCTAGTTACAAGTTTTAAAGTCACGCTATAGCATTATTGCCTTGGCAGGTAGGTTTTGTTATTTTATATTCTGTGAATAAAAGTTTCATAGAAGATACAGCTAGTGGTCTTTTCCCTCCAAAGCCAGTGATGAGTGTGGGAGCACTTCTGCTCTGTAGGGGACCAGCGTTCTGGCCTCTAACCACATGAACTTACTTGTGTCAGCAGTTGCAGAAAGTAGCCTGTTAGGACGGTAGCTGCTACACATTGCCTGGTATTTTAGTGGGGAGATGGTTGGGACTCTTAATGGTGTTAACACTTGTGTCTCTGAATCTTTGATCAGAGATGGTGTGGCATTTGTGGCATTTCCACCCCATCTTGTAGTAGCCTTTAAAAGTGGTAGAAGATGCTGCCCTAATTACTCCAGGATGATTGTCATTCCATGTAGCATAATGCGCTGCTAGGAGTTTTCTCATTCCAATTCTTTGGACTTTGTAACATTGGAATTATTTTTCCATAATTTCCAGCATTCCATAAATATTTGTCAAGGACAAAGAAAAGGAATGTGGTTGTTATTCTTTTCATATAAATGGCTTTGTACACATGACTTCCTGCTCTCATTATGGAGGAGAAACTAGCTCCCTTGTATGGTAACTCCAGAGTTAAAAGATTGTGCATGTCTGAGGGGTTGAATATATTTTGTAAAACTCTAAATACATTTGTATGTCTGTGTTGTTCTAAAGTTTACCTTTTTACTTAAAGATATAGAAAAACTATATATTTAAATCATGTAAATGGAACACAGGTTAGGGGGTTTTTCCAATCTTATTTTTCATCAGCTTCTCACACTTATGTTGTATGCTGCTCAAATGTTTTTGTGTGTGCAATATGAACATTTGAACATTTCAGTCAGGTACTGAGCCAGAAAAGATAATGGAAGTTTTCAGAAAGCTTCTGTGCTTAGAAAATATTTTGTTTTCTTAAAATATTAGTATTTTGTAGCTGGAAGAAGATGATCAAGATTTATGTGTTTCAGGCCACTTGGTCATTGGTTCCTGAATTTAGGAAACATTTGATTAATGAGTTGGTGAAGGCATTTAGTGGTTACAAAAATAGTTCAAATATTTAAGATTAAAGGCTTTTCATAAACCTTTTCTAAGAAAATTTAGCTGAGGAAACTTAAAAAGTTTTCTAAGGACATTTAGCTGTGGCACATGCTTTGATCAGAAAGGTGGCTTGCTCTGGTAGTTTTAAACTTTGTACTAGTTCTTTGTTTCTGTTGTTTGGGGGTTTTTTTGAAATTGTTAAAATTATAAATCACGTCTAATCATACTGAATTGTAAAACTTCTATTGTATCTTTATTTTAAGCACAAAGGAGAATAAAATGATGCTGTTCACTCTGCATGTGGTTGGACCTGACCTGTCCTTCTAGAAGTACCCTGTGTGTTGTCCATGTGGTTTTTTGCCTGCTTCACAGTTCAGTAGCAGGTTCATTTATTAAGAAATCACACAGAATGAACTAAAGACTCATTACGCATTTACTTTTGACATTGCTGACAGT